GATAGCTTGTTCTTGGAACCCTCTGCTGTCAGAGTCCAGGATCTTTAAGATGGAAGTGAGCACACTGGACGTTGCACTTGTAGCTTTGCTGTGCTGACTTGCAGATAGTTTTTCCATTATAGAAAGAGCTTCACCTATCACTTCTAAATCAAGGAAACTTCCCAACATGCCAAATGTACCTTCTCTTAAATAAGATAGATCCTTTCTGCATGAAAAAACACAAACTTATTCAGTTGGACAGCAAATTCATGTCTCCAAATAAAGCAACGATAGCAGCTTTAAGTCAGAAAGATGCTCTGAAGGAATATGAAAGTAATATAGCAATGTCATAAACTAAGCTCATCAAATACGTTAATGCATTGTTTACAAGGAATATAATAAAGTTCTAAACACGAGTTTTTAAAGGAAAATAAATATAATCATTTTATGGATTAAGAATTGTCAATCAATTGGGTTTTACCGTATAATCATAGAAATGAACCAAATTAAATTAATTAGCAATGTAGCAAGCACCACAATGACGGGAAATTCATACCCGCAGTTATTCACAAATTCCATTAACAACTGAGTTCCAGTTCTAAGAGCTTTCACATCTTGACGTTCATATGCACTGCTCAAAAATCTGTTGAGAAATTCAATAAAACGTTCAGAAGACACAGAACAAGAACTTTGGCAATTGCATTTCAAACGATCTTTCAGATCTTCAATGGCCTGGCATTGAGAATCCCATTCAAGGCCATGGGATTCAGACAAAATTATCAGATCAGTGTCATGCACATGCACATTAAGTTGATGACTCCAAGAATTGTCATTGACCTTCTTCGACATCAAATTTAAGTCGTTAGAGTTCCGAGCATGTGAGGAATCAGAACCTTGACTATAATCTAATGATCCAAGTGACATGTTGCTAAGATCTACTGGTAAGTGCAGATCATCCATGGAACTGCCAAAACTCCTAATGGAAATTGAAGAAACCTCCCATGAGTGAAATTCTTTTGCTTGCTGTTGTGGTTCAGCAAGTATAACTCCATTATTTCTGCACCACTTGGATATTAAGTCCTTCATAACAGTGTTTGGAGTCAATGACATATGGGCCAGTCTCTTCTCGGTTTTTGGACATGTATCATTGCCCTCGTCAAACCACTTTTGTATCCACATTCTTTCATATGTTGCTCCAGAAGCAATAACAACAGGATCATACATTAATCTTGAAGATATTGGACATTTGTATTCCTCGGGCGGTTCTACTCTACCCATCTCACTGTTGCGAGTTTCATACTGATCATGATTAAGGCATCTTTCTGATTCAATATTATGGATATGTCGAGAATGATGACTGCAGTTCTCAGGTACAATCGATCCTTCACTATAAGGATAGATCATTTCCATCTGTTCTCCTGTGATATACTTTCCATACTTCTTCAACAGATACAAGAGATATCTCAAGATCGTCTTTTTTGTCTGATCATTTGGCCCAACTTTATCTAACAACTTCTTAATAGATCGTTTCTCTATTAAGATGGCCTTCGGGGATGAGATATTAAGTCTTGCGGCCGCAAACTGAAGAGCTTTAATCTCAGAATTTTCAACAGAGTCTGCGGTTGAAGCACCTTGCTGAAGTAATTCCTTTACAACCCTCCCAGCCTCTTCTTCAGCTGAATCCAGTACAATAGTCATGCATGCAAGATTATCAATTATTTGAGAAATCTGCAAAGAGAAAACAAGGAGTGTTAGAGCATGAAATAAGGTTCCAAGTTGTAACCAAACACAGATCAAAATAAGGAGAATTGTACAGGACTAGTTATTGTGTCAACTCAATTCCATAATAGTAAACTTCAGCTTCGTAGAGAAATGAAAATAAATGAGACACAACTAGGTCAGAGTCAGTTTAAAAAAGAACTTCAGGATGGTGTACAAACGAAAATAAACAGGCAAGGTAATTTGACAAACCTCCGCAGCCAACATAACTGGAACAATGCTCTGAACTTGACCTAAGCTTTGCTCCAATGATTTTCTTGCCTTTAGGAATCTTGAGAGCACAGTATCTCCCGTCACCGCCTGAGAGTAATAGTAAACCCAATTAAATAATCGTGCAATCAGCTAGAATAATCCATTGGTAAAATTTACATTTTTGGTAGCTCAATTTTTTTCCAATGCAAACTTTTCGACTCTTGACATAGCTTTGGTATAATAGAAAAAAGATAACCTACATCCAAAGTTCAAAGTTCAAACTTTCATAAAGAAACGATTTTCCAATTTTTCTTAGTTGCATGAGGTTTTATTATTCTAGATTACAGTAATCTATACCAACAGAATAACTTAAAAAATAAACAACCTACATACCAGGTAGAGTTTGCTAGACTCGCAGCAATGCTGCAGGAGAAGTTTGGCTTTGTCAACTGCACTGTTTAGCAAGCACAGAGATTGTATTCCTGATGAGCATCGAGGACGTGCTGCCTCAATATCTGGGAATATCCTAGAGATTCTATCAACTAATTTCATTAGCTCTATGCACATTTTTCGATGGACCTGTCATCATGAAGAGCAATCAATTGAACATTTGATTTTAATATGCCAAACTAGTTGGAAGAAGATTAAAAGACAATCTAATGAAATATGAAAAATAAGAACCATACTGCTCAATTGCAATTTTAACTCAAAATGATGAGTATTAATTATCGTGACATGCTGGGAACAATTCCCCTATGGTAGGCTTCAAGATAAAACTTCATACACTATGAAATCAATGTTCAGGCCCATCTATTTCTTTCTATTTTTCCTTTTCTTAGCTACTTGCACCATAAGGGTAGCAGATCAGATTAGATGTATCTATAATTTATGCCCCGTAATATTTTGGTACTGCATATACAGTCAACTAAAATCCTAAAACACAAATTGTGGGATTCCATTATTTTTGCGTACCTTAAAGGAGCGGACATTTGGTAGTGGCTCCACTACTTCACCACGATCAGTTCCCATTCAGGAAGTGTCCTGAAGCTGTAGATTAGAAGACAACAGAACATGATTTTCCTTAACTCACTTGCATAAAAAAAATGCATACTGATATCTTGAAAGAAAATGGTAACCCAGTCTGCTAGATGCGGAGCTATATGCAATGAAGCTATGAAGCTTATTAAGCAGAATTCATCTCATAACATACCAACACAAAAGAAAGCATAAATATGCCATACAAGATCTAGACTGGTCTCTATCTCACAAGATTTGAAAACTATCCCCTTGCCGCAGACCGCCAGAACCCCTCAGGGAACTTCCAGGTCATAAGTGGGTATAGAAAAAAAACATATTTGCCTAATATTTCCTCAGTAAGCTTCAAATATGAGAAATTGTTATTTTATCGCTCTGTTTCTGTAACAGTCGAACGAAGGCCAGATTTCCAGAGCAGAAGAGCAAAGGAACAATCCTTTCTAAGAAATGAAAGAAATTCCGTATAACAGGCATGCATGGATGGTTCAATCATACATCAAGGTTGAACCTAACATGACAATAGAGAAGGCTAATATTTAAACTAAGCATACTAATTAGACAATAGCTAACAAATGACACATAATCAACATGTATGCAGTAAACAGAACGATGATTAGAAGTAAACACCTCGGCTTAAGGCGACAATAATTACAACAGAACCAAGTGTCTTTTTCTCCGTTCAAACGATGATACTGTGAATATGTCAAAGCAGCCGTCAGTCTGAGTAGTTGCAAACAGAATTTGGAGCTTCACAGCGTTCCCCACGGAGCTGTCCCGTAAATTAGCAAGGCCAATAGGAAGCGACGGATCCAGACAATCTTGAATAAGGAAAAGGACCAAATACCAGGGCTCATAATCCAACCCCCTATATCCTACACCACATGAACACTCAGCGCCTGAGAATGAAAAAGGACAGAGGGATACAGAAAACCCCAAGCCAAACGTGATGGAAGAAGAAAAAGAGGAAGCGGCACACACAAAAACTATAGTTAGCTTCAAAGTCTCTCAGAAGACATTATTACAGTTACCCCCCAGATGGTCGAAGATTTGTTCAGTGAAAGCAAAGCAAAGCCATTAAGAAAGGAAAAGAAAAGAAAAAAGGCAGTTTTTCTCAAAACAAAAGCCTTGGCCTTTAGTAACCATTAATGAGTTTTCAAGGAGGAGGAAGAAAATATCCGTCAAACCGAATATTTACCTTGAGAAAATTATTGGTAATTCGTTGACGATATGGAGGGTCGGGACTCGGCGGACGAAGGAGGGAAGAAATAGCTTGGCAATCCCGGTGGCTTTTGTTCGAGGGAATATGACAAAGCAGCTGAAGCACAGTGAGCAGTCATCATTTTAGAGTAACGTGCCTGTGAAGTCTGTGATCATTGTGCACCGTTCTTTCCAAGGAACAAAGCATACTCTGTGGGACCCATGTTTGGATCTACCGGTGATTGAGGCGTCTGTGAGTCTGAGAGGTGTTTGCCCGTTGTTGTTGACTGCAACAGCCGATGTTTCCACTTTCAACTCGCAGACTATATTGAACCGAAGGGGCAGTACCGTAAATTGGCGGGGGAGAAGTCAAAAGGCAGAAATATTAAAGAGAAAAAAAGTATCCACAGTGGTACGTGAAATAAAACATGACCAAAACGGAGAAGGATAAGGACAAACGAAGCCCCCTGCCGCTCCGTCCCTGTTTGGCCCCAAAATATTGTTTAAAAAAAACAAAAAAGGTGTCACTGTCAACTTTATTTATAAATTAATGAGAAAACCATATTGAAAGTATCTATACTTTCTCTCAATTTTTAATTTGGTACTTATGCATTTTTTTTCTTTAATTAAACATTTAATTTTATCTTTTTAGCAACATTAGCTCTTATAACTTTGTTCTATTGATATTTTTAGTCTCTAGATAAGGATTAATGATGTTAATAGAGGAAAAATAAAGATTTAGTTAATAACAAAAAACACATAGGTACCAAATTGAAAATTAAAAAAAAGTATAAGTACCTCCAATATGGTTTTCCTTAAATTAATTTCTAATTTGTTTCTGGTGGATAATTTATGAATATTTCGTGACTCTTTCAGCGTCAACGGTAAGCAGCTTCCATCGTGATATGTATTATTTGTTGCCTAAACCCATCAACGATACAATTAATCAAACACTAACTTTACATTGACATGGTGGAAATGGCCCAGACAAAAACATTTACATGGTGAATTATTGGTAGTTGCATTAAAAAAAAAACAGAGATAAAAGATTTCCACGTTTTTGAATAAAAAAAAGCCATTTTTTCTGATCAAATTAATTGGACTGTGTCTACAGTCCACACGCACACAAAGAGGTCATCTTATATGTGACTTTAATGAAAATTATTTAAATTGAAACTGTTACTATTTGTATATACGAAACATACATCAGTTTTGTATGATGCATAGGTCGAGGTCTGATTTAAATGTGGTGAAAATATTAGTGGACAGGACATGGTTTATTAGGTCCTTCAAACATTAGTTCATATTACATTATCATGCCACTAAGTTATGAAAAATATGCTATTACCTCCGGTCCTAATTATAAGAGCTAGTTGACTAATTTGAAAATATTAAGAAAAGAAGTTAAGTTAGTTATTTGTCATAAATAGGTGTTGTCTTTCTTAAAATATCCTTGCTAATTAAGTATATTAGCTAAAACTAGCATTATTAGAATGACTATCTTGAAAAAAATACATAAATATTAGCGACAAATTGGATTGGAGTCTTATATTTATTATCAAAATAAAAATCAAATGAGATCATATGTTAAGAATCAGAGGCAGGATGTAAAATATGTAGGGAATTGAAAGACGACGCGCAGCGGAAAAATTTTAAAACTTTCAATCCCTTTCCGGATCTACCGTTCGCGTTTAAGTCAGGTAGTAAGAAGCATTACCTTTAGGCGTTCGATTCCCTGGTGACTTGATGATTCGGCCGTTCAGGATGCTTCTGCTCGCCTCCTGTGTCGTTCGAAGTCGACAACTCCGGTCGGCTTCCTCTACCGGTATCCACACGAGTAGCCCTCAACCTCGAACGGCGTGCCAGCGCCTCTGTCCGTCTAGGGTTTTAGGAATCCGTCCTCTCTCCTCTCTTTGCCGTCTCTTAGGTGTTGGTTCTCTCTTAGTTAAACCCTAGCTCCTCATATCAAATATATAGGATGCTATATAGGTTTAATTAATAATATTTAATTTCGAAATTAACTCTAAATTAATTCTGAAATTAATACAATATCAAATATTGCCTAATCAGATAAGAGAACAATTAAATAAATATAGTTTAAATTAAACCCGTCTCACAGATTTAATTCACTTATTTATTTAATAAAGAGATGACGGAATTAATTTGTATATATTTAATTTATCCTTATAAATTAAATCTAACAATTAATACCTTTTATATTTATATATATATATACGAATTTATATATATATATACACACGTCCACCCTATATTATTCATTGAATCTGGACATATCTTAGATTCAATGAATCTGGACATCATAACTCGTGTCGGGCTATTTTGTGTGCGACCCTGTAGGCCCATATGAAGTTGGCAGTGGGCCATTAACTATAATGACCCACAAGTCGTAAGCGGTCTCTAGCAAGACATCACGACTACCCAAAACATATGAGGATCATTGAACGATGCAACCTTTCATACAACCATATCACGTCCCTTTTGTCACACGACATTTTGGTCATGGATGAGGCATGGAGAATGTCATCCTCCTATTCATGACCGTTACTTTCTCGATCCCTGAGTAGTCTGAGTATAGAAACGGAACTACCTTTCCATTATAGTATGGCCATACATTTCTCAGACTCACTCATCGAGGGGCCCAGTAATGTCTCTCTACGAATGTGAGGGACAAATTCCATCTTGACCATTCACATTCCTCCGCATGAAAAACCACTAAGCCTGAACACAGTCTTTATGATCACTCGGTCAAAAGTGACTTTTGACTAGGTCAAAGCTAAGCGTTTCTCATGTAGGAATCCATGATGATCTCAGGTCAAAGGGCATAGTGACGTGGTTTGTATATGAGAGAAGCTTATGACTTAACCCATGCAGCTCTCTCATAGCGGGTCGGTCCAACACCTTGTACTCTTACATGTGCCTATGACTTTAATTTATATCTCTATATATCTTTAAAGTCATACTGGTCTTATTTCATCTTTGCTCCCACATAGATGACCGACCAGGGACATTTAGGATAAACCATGAGTTATCCAAGGATAGTTACCACAAAACATGCAAATAATATGATAACGTAATTGATAAATTCATAAATTAACAATGTTCAAAACATAATGATTGGCCCCTAGGGCACAATTTCCAACAAAAATATGCTCAAGACTTGCATTTATATAGATATGTGAGAGTTTGAAATTATTTATAAGAGTAAGTATTTAAATGTACACTAAACGTTACTCTTCTTTTCTTTTATTGTTTCCTTTTGGCCTCGTACGTTTACTTTTCAAACCACGGAACCATCAAGCATACAATTAAGGGGTCAATATACTACTATTTGATTTGGTCTGATATTAAAATGTCTTAAACCGTGGCATAATAAAGCCCTTGATTTTTTTTTTATATTGCAATTTAAGTATTAGGCGTAATTGAGAGTAACTCTCTTTGAGGAAAGAAGAATGTGTCCACTTGCATTCCTCTTCACTTTCTCTCCACTTGTCACAACTTTCATGATTGACTTGTAATATATTATAACGATATTATTATAATATTTTTTTTACCAGCAATATTATTATAATATTAAATAATAAAAATAAATGTAAGTAAATTTATTCTCTAGATTTTTAATTTAAACATGTCAATTCTCTAGATTTTTATTAAAATATTTCATAATTTTTTTAGGTCAAGTTAAATTTATATATATATATTAATTTGATTGGAAACAGCCGCTTTAAATATATTTAGCATTTATATTTTAAAGATCTCATGCTTGCTTCTGAATTTATCCAATACTCCTCTACTTTTATTTATAAGTCATTTTTAACATGTTTTACAGAGGTCAATAAAAATTTTAAACTCCGTTAACTCTTATTTAAAATTCAACAATTTTTTATTTTTATCCCTATTTAATATATAATATACCACATAAGAATTAAGTCAACACAATAATAAATAAAAGAATAAAATTCATATGAAATTGTTTCTCCCTACCTTATAAATAGCACTAGAGAAGTAACTTATTTGTTGTTGTAACAATTCAAGCTAAGGCTTGAAAAATGATTTAGGCGGCAGGCAGAAGGTATAACTACAGCTAAAAAGAAAAATTGTATGCTTATTATTTACTCCTCGTTTTGTAAGTTTTTTTAATTATTGTTATTGATGATGAAATACACACAGCCTAACACTGCCCCTTATGATCGCTTTATAGGAGTTTAAATTCGTTTAAAAAAATTTTTACGCATATTAAGAGAATTTTTTTTTATTTTTTACTGCGGTCTTCATAAAATCAAGGTAATCCAAACCTCCTGTTAAAAATTTTTTTTATCTAAACTGAGACAAAAAATTTTTATACATATATCTCATATGCTGTAAATTATTTTTTAAAAACTTAATTTAAATAGCCCTGAATATGCATGGTTCATTCACGTGACCTACTATGCCAAGAAAAGCATTTTAGGATTAGCGAGGTGTCGTTATACAACATGGCGATGGTAGTCGATATTGTACTTGAGCAAATAAAAAAAATGGAAGCAAATACAAAACAAACACACATTAATAAATCTAGTGAAAACAATATTACAATTAGAATATCTGCATGTGTGCAGTGTATCAAATGCTGCGAGCCTGAGACACATTATAAATAAATTTCTATTTCCGGCAATCCGAGAAAGCAACGGATGCCCCTCGTATTGATATATCAACTATTAAATTGGGGATAATCGTAATAAAAAATATATATTTGGTAATTATAATCAAATATATGCGAAGGCAAAAAAAAAAATCAAATACGTTGCGGCAAAATATAAATTCTCTCGTGTAATGCACATCAATAGATAATAGCTTTAAGAAAATTTATCCCGATTTTTAATTTGAAATTATTTAATTAATTTAGATAAATTAAAGAATTGAATAACTTTATTAACTATGACAAATGTGACATAATTTCTTAAAGATATTCTATACAACATTAAATTATATATTAGTTCATAGGTTAGATAAATCATTTTACCAAAAAAAATATAATAAACAAAGTAGAATAAATACTTTTCCTTCTAAAATTTAAATTTTATTGAAATGTGTCGAGATAAAAAGTTGTATGAAGTTGAAT